TAGTAGTAGTAGTCGTAGTCGTAGTCGTAGTCGTAGTCGTAGTAGTAGTAGTAGTAGTAGTAGTAGTAGTAGTAGTAGTAGTAGTAGTAGTGGTGGTGGTGGTGGTGGTGGTGGTGGTGGTGGTGGTGGTGGTGGTAGTAGTAGTAGTATTAGTAGTAGTAGTGGTAGTGGTAGTCGTAGTCGTAGTCGTAGTCGTAGTCGTAGTCGTAGTCGTAGTCGTAGTCGTAGACGTAGTCGTAGTCGTAGTCATAGTCGTAGAGGTAGTTGTAGTGGTAGGAGAAGTAGCAGGAGAAAGACAAGGAGCCTCTTGGATACCTCTTCGAGTCTCTTCTGATTTGTTTCTGGGAGCTTCTTGGGGTCCTCTTGGGGTATCTTGGGCATCTTTTGGCAGTGCGGGGGGGCCTCTTGGGGCGTCCTCTGGGGGGCGCCGAGTCCTGATGGATGGAAATGTGTGCGGGGGGGCCTCTTGGGAGGCAACTGTGCTTCTGAGGAGCCTCTTGGGGCCTCTTGCGAGCCTCTTGGGGGCACCCTGGGGGCCTCTTGGGGGCCTCTTTGTGCCGCCTGGGCGCTTCTCGGTGCCGTCTTGGGGCACCCTCGGGAGCCTTTGGGGCCATCTTAGGGCCATTTTGGAGGAGATTGATCAAAGGAGGGGCCGTAGTACGTTTGCCCACCCCCACAGGAGGCCAAATAGTGGTCAAGACCTCAGGGCAATCAATGATTTTGGTCGTCTCGCCTGGGCGTCTTGGGTGCCTCTGGAGGGCCCCATCTTTGGGGTCTCGTGGGAGCCTCTTCAGGGCATCTTGGGGGCCTCTTGGGGGCCTCTGGGGGTCTCCTGGACACCTCTTGGGGCCGTGTTGGAGCATCCTTGGGAGTTTCGGGGGCCATCTTGGGGCCATCTTGGAGGAGATCGTCGACCAAAGGAGGCGGGCTCCTTTATTTGCCCCCACCCAGGAGGCCAACATGTGGAGTATACCTTAGTACAATCAGCGATGCTGGTCCTCTCGCGGAGGCCTCTCGGGGCGTCTTGGGTGCCTCTGGGGGGGCCTCTTGGGGGGTCTCTTGGGGGTCCCTTGGGATCCTCTTGGGGGCATCTTGAGGGCGTCTGGGGGCCCCTGTGGCCTTCTGGGCACCTCTTGGGACCGTCTTGGGGCACACTCGGGAGCCTCACGGCCATCTTGGGGCCATCTTAGAAGCGAAGAATCAAATGAGGGGCCCGTAATACTTTAGGCCCACCTCAGCCCCAGGCGGCAAACATGCGGTCAATACCTTAGTCAAATCAGTGATTTGGGCTTCCACGCCGAGGCCGTTTTGGACGATCTCATTGGTCGCGACCCCATCCCCTCCGGGTCCAGGTGGAGGGGGCAGGGGGAGGGGTAGACCCCTCCACGGAGCGGAAGAAGGGAATTGGAAGAAGAGGCTCCAAACCACTCGCACCCTGAAGGGCTAGTGGGATTCGGCCCGCCCTGGTCCAGGTTCGTCTTGCCTCGATGCGATTCGGGTCTGCCTGGTCCTCGTCTGGGTTCGTAGTGTGTCGGGCCGTCCTGCCGCAGTTCGTCGCGTCTCGGTTCGCCGCGTCGGTGCGTTTCGCCTCGGTTCAGGTTCGTTTCTTTTCGGCTCGTCCTGCTTTGGGACCGAATCGGATCTTGAGCTCGAGATGGTTGAGCGTCCCGCACGTTTCGATTGCAACAAGCCTTGGGCGAGCTATGCGTTCAGGCAGCTTGAGCTCAAGATCCATATCAGTTCGGTCAGGGTTCGAATGCCAAGGACGATTTTGCCCGCAGCGCAATCCAGAACTAGAGCACAGCTCAGCTTAACGTGGCAGGATACATGTCAACTTATCATCTCATCACGGCACAGCACAGCATAGACCCAGGCAGTGTACATCGCCATCGATACCTTCAGCATTGCAATTGCCCGTCGCCCAGTCATTTGTCTTAAGAACGCGTCCATGCTTCATCTCACCATATCCCTGTCTGGGTTCGTTGGTCAATCATACTGTCTTTCCGTTCTTCGGCCTGTGGTGCGTGTTTTCGGCTCCTTGGGGTGATGGAAACACGGCCCTGTGGAAGAGGTCGGGAGCCCTGTGGGCGCACGTCGCAAAAACAAAACACGACGTCAGATGTCTGGCTTGGACGGAGGGCCTTTCCTCCGGTAGATCACCCTCCTATTGCTGCTCGTGGTCGCCGCCGTTGTTGCCATAGTCGCCGCCGCCGTCGTCGTGGTGGTGGTGGTAGTGGCGTTGTCGTCTCAAATCGTTTTGGCAATTGCCACCCAGGAGAAATAAGGACGACGATTTGGCACGACCAATGTAACAGGACAGTGGAGCTCGTGGGCTGTGCGCGTCCCCAAGCGCGCGCGGGACATTTACCTGAAAGGGTTCTTCAGCCATGGTTCAGAGTGGAAGGTAGGCGATTTGCAGGCGGGCAGGCTGAATGCAGGGCTGCAGATATGTCGGGCGTCGGGCGACGCGGGGGTCGCAGCTGCCCTCCCCGTAGTTGCTCAGCCCACGTGCAGCACTGCTTCCATGCACGTGCACAGGGGAGCCGTGCAGGAATCCACGGTCCAGCTTCGAGCCTTCTTGGCATCCGCGCAGCTCTGGCCTCCCTGCAAGACCACAGCCGGCTGGTGCCCCCGTGGCTGCCGCGTGGGTACCTTCGACAGCTCTGTGCAGGCCACGGGGGCCCGTCATCGGCGGAGGCTTCCCCTCCCGCGCGACACACCGAAACGCTGGCGGCACGAGCTGTGCTGGTTCGCACGAGTGGTGCTTCCCCTTGGTCAGGACCGGAAGGTGCACCCATCTCCCTTGCCGAGGAGGGAGGTGAGGGAACAGGAGGAGCAGGAAGAAGACCCGGTCCAGACGGACGGTACGAAAGTTCACCGCGCGCAGGAAGGAGGCGAAGGGCACGAGGGGAGGGGAATGGGGTGAAGCGGGAGATGGCGCGGGGGCACTGCCCGTTCGATCCCCTCCAAGCGGTGGGCGGTGGCAAGCGCAGCGGAGTGCCCGTTGGTGTCGTCGTGGGTGAAGGCAGCGGCCATGCCCTCGCGCGAGGGGAGCTCCTCGCGCGCCCACCCCTGCTTTGCGAGCAGGCCTTCAAGGGGAGGTGGCGGCGAGGCAGCCATCAGAGAGAGAAAGAGAGAGGGAGAGAGACAGAGAGAGACCCTGAGATCCGACGTTACGAGAACATGGCAATCTCGAGAGCCATCACGAGCGGAGCTCCGGACCCCATCCTCCTGCGCCATTCTTCCCCGAGCCGCATCGCTGCGTGAGGGCGACGGGGCCCGACGAACGACGAAAAAGCGCCGCGCTCGGAGAAAGCGAAACGCCAGGATCTCATGGGAGAGAGAGAGAGAGAGAGAGAGTGAGAGAGGAGGAGGGAGGGAGGAGAGAGGAGGAGGAGGAGGAGGAGGAGGAGGAGGAGGAGGAGGAGGAGGAGGAGGAGGGAGGAGGAGGAGGAGGAGGAGGAGGAGGGGAGGAGGAGGAGGAGGAGGAGGAGGAGGAGGAGGAGGAGGAGGGGGGAGGGGGGGAGGACCCAGGATCTCAGGGGAGAGGAGAGAGGGAGCGAGAGCGAGAGGATGCGGAGGACGAGCGGGCGACCCGCGGAGCCAGGCCGCCGGCCGCTCGGCGCCGTCCGCCCGGCAGCAGGGCGCAGCCCCGCGGGAGACCGCCGAGGGCGCCGCCAAGAGCCACGGGGTGCTTCCGAGGGCGCGCCCCGCCGCCGGCCGCCACCCTCCGAGGGCCCTCGGCGTGGGCGCCACTGATGGGCCTGTTTTCCACCACCACCATCATAATCAAGTTGGAGGGGGAGGGGGTCCTCCTCCACCTCCTCCTGCTCCTCCTCCTCCTCCTTCCCCCCTACAGCTTATGGTGGTGGTGGTGGTGGTGGTGGTGGAAAACAGGCCCATCAGCCACGCCGATCGCGGCTGACCGGGAGGGCCAGGGAGGTCTCCGAGGAGGAACACTGCTCTTCGCCTCGTGTTCCCTCCTTGGCTGCTCGTGGGAGTGACCTTTCGCCGGAGCGACGTCTGGTGCGGGCCCATCGGGATCCCTTGGATCGCCGAGCGCGATGCGGTAGTGATTGCCTGCGTGCTGGGATTTGGCCACCTTGCGCCCCCTTAGCCCGCGCACTAAAGGTCACTCTTACCCAGGGTCACTCTTGCGTGTAGTCGATCGATTGGCCGGCCAGGAGAGCCAGGCAGGTCTCAGAGGAGGACAACTCTAGGCGTCCTAGATGGGGTCGGAGGAGGCGCCGCGTCTCCGATGCATCGGCGACGCGGCTCGGTGTGGAGCCCGATCTGCTTTGCGTCGACGTCGCCGACATACGACGATGCATCGCCAGTGCATCGCCGATGCATCGCCGATGCGGGGCAATTCTCCGACCCCATCTACTGTGACCCCATCTAAGAGGCCTCTTAAAACTACGCTTCGCCTCGTTTTCCTTTGTTGGGGACTCCTGAGAGGCCCTTGTCGCTACTGCTGGATTCGCCTCGACATTCTAGTCATAACGCACCCCAGGAGAGGTCCGTGGCGCAGCGGTATAGGTACCTGTTGGTTTCCTTAAGGACGGCAAATGAGTTCGGTGCTCAGTTGGAATCCACTGCCCCTCTGTTATGAGGCCATTGTATAGGAGAGGGAACAAAGGACAGAGTGTTTACACAGTTTTGGGGAATTAGTGAATTCAGTATGGGTCCGGCTCGAAGTGCCTCGAAGAAAGCGCGCGCACCCGAATCGCAGACATATGGCTATATGCGGACCCAGGACACTTTGCTTCCCGTCGTCGTCCTCGCCCTTGCTCCGTTCCCCTTCCTTTCCTCTCTCCCCTGGATTGTGTCGAAAGCGTCCGCGGCTCGGGCGGGGGAGCGCCCCTTCCCACCTCCCTCATTATTCCTCGTTCCTCTTTTGCCTCCCTGCTCCACCATCCGTCGTCCTACCTCGCTCACCCTCCTTGTTCGACCCTCCTTGTTCGAAAAGTGAAGTCCCTGGCGCCGCGTGCCCGCGTCAGCGGTAAATGCTTTTTCGATATCCGAGCACAGCGGCGCAACCAAACAGAGGGGAGTGTCAATGCGAGAGTTCGGGGCGCACCCAAAATGCGGGCGGCGCCCCGTAGCCAAACAAAAAGCAACTACAAGTACATGAACTTTCTGCGCGCACCGCGAATTTCTTGGATCGGCGCCTTGCCCATCCTGGCGGCGCCTCCGGCGCGGGTTCCAGCGCAGATCCAAGAAATCTGCGCGGACCATCGACCGTTTATGCTTGTGCCGTTTCTTCTTCCCGACACGGGTTGAACAGCCTGGGGCGTCCATGCACCGAGCCCTTTGGCCGTGCAGATGACGTGGTGCGTACATCAAGGCCTCCGCGCCCTGGCCCTCTCCTCCTTCTCCTCCATCTCCTCCTCTTCCTTCTCCTCCTCCTCCTCCTCCTCCTCGTCCCCTTCTCCTCCTCCTTCTCCTCCTCCTCCTCCTCCTCCTGCTCTTGCTCCTGCTCTTCCACCTCCTCCTTCCCCCCCTCCTCTTCCTCCTCCTTCTCCTCCTCCTCCTCCTCCTCCTCCTCTTCCTCCTCTCCCTCCTCCTCCTCCTCCTCCTCCTCCTCCTCCTCCTCCTCCTCCTCCTCCTCCTCCTCCCCCCTCCTCCCCGTTCCTCCGCTCTCTCCTCCCGCTCCTGAGGTCGGGCGTGCTCCGAGGGCCCGCCTCGGGGCACCCCATGGGGCTCCCGCGGGAGGCAGACCGCGGTGCGAGGTGCAGCAGACGAGTGGTGGGGCCGCCCTCGGTGGCCCGCCGCGTCCACGGAAGGCGGCCCTGAGCAGCCGCAGTCCTCCTGGAGGCCCCAAGAGGTTCCTGGAGGCCCCAGGAAACCCCAGTAGGTTTCAGGGGGCCCCAGGAGGCCCCAGGCTCATGCGCAGAGACGCGGTCGTATTACTGAGGGCCATTCACACTCCAATTCATTCGCAGTTAGATGCATGACCAGACTGTCACAACTGAAGGCCGCTTAGATTCGAAAGCTCTTGCGCCGAGACATTCACGGCGGACAGGTCCATGCGAATAGATGCACACATGGGGAGCTCCAAGCAATGAGTAGTTATTTGGACACCTCCTACTCCTTCCTCTTGTTTTCCTCCTCTTCATACCTAGACTTTTACTCATTCGCAAACGTACTCATACAGAAACCTACTCATACTCAGACTTGATCATATTAAGTTACTCATACTCAGACCTGCTCATACTCAGACCTACTCATACTCAGACTTACTCATGCTGAGACTCACTCATACCCAGACCTGCTCAGACTCAGACCTTCTCATTGTCTGACTTATTCGACACATCAGATTGTGAGGACGTCCCAGGCGGGGCGTTGGTTTCAGCTACCTAAGGGGAGCCGCCGAGGGGTATTGCACGGTCCCGTTCGCGGCCGTTTTGTGGGGATGTCTCAAGCGGTTTGCCGGTCTTCTGTCTCAGCATCCGTCGCTCGGAGAGCAGACTGTGAGGATTTCTGAGGCGCGGTGCTGTTTCAGCACCCCTAAAGGGGAGCCGCCGAGGGGTATTGCACGGTCCCGTTCGCGGCCGTTTTGTAGGGATGTCTCAAGCGGTTTGCCGGTTTTCTGTTTCAACATCCTTCGCTTGGAGAGCAGGCAATGAGGATTTCTCAGGCGGGGCGCTGGTTTCAGCACCCCTAAGGGGAGCCGCCGAGGGGTATTGCACGGTCCCGTTCGCGGCCGTTTTGTGGGGATGTCTCAAGCAGTTTGCCGGTCTTCTGTCTCAGTATCCTTGGCTTGGAGAGCAGACTGCGAGGATGTCTCAGGCGGGGCGCTGGTTTCAGCACCCCTAAGGGGAGCTAAGGGGAGCCGCCGAGGGGTATTGCACGGTCCCGTTCGCGGCCGTTTTGTAGGGATGTCTCAAGCGGTTTGCCGGTTTTCTGTTTCAACATCCTTCGCTTGGAGAGCAGGTAATGAGGATTTCTCAGGCGGGGCGCTGGTTCCAGCACCCCTAAGGGGAGCCGCCGAGGGGTATTGCACGGTCCCGTTCGCGGCCGTTTTGTGGGGATGTCTCAAGCAGTTTGCCGGTCTTCTGTCTCAGTATCCTTGGCTTGGAGAGCAGACTGTGAGGATGTCTCAGGCGCGGCGCTGGTTTCAGCACCCCTAGGGGGAGCCGCCGAGGGGTATTGCACGGTCCCGAGAGCAGATTGTGAGGATGTCTCAGGCGGGGCGCTGGTTTCAGCACCCCTAAGGGGAGCCGCCGAGGGTGCTTCCACGGCTCCGTTCGTCGCCGTTCAGTGGGATGTCTCTAGCGTTTTGCTTGTTTTCTGCTTTTACGTTGTGTCCCGTTTTGCGTTTCTGCCTTTGCTGTGTACAACATGAGATGCACATATGGTTCATATGGCTCGACGCTCATTTAAATACCCCAACGTATTATTACCTTTTAAAAAGGATGCACATATGGGGAGCTCCACGCAGTGAGTATTTATTTAGTGCTTTGTGTTTCCTATCGGGCATTCTTTCTGTTGTGTTCTTCCATTCCCCTCCTCCTCCTCCTCCTCCTTCTCCTCCTCCTCCTCCTCCTCCTCCTCCTGCCTCTCGTTCTCGCACCTGGAGGGGTGCCTCGGCGCGAGGGCGGCGCGTCGGGGCCCCAGGGGAACTAGAATCCGCCAAGTCGTGGCCTTTGTGGGGGCCGCACTGCGCTGGGAACGGCCGTGCCCCCCCCCCCCCCCTCTCGCTCGAGACATCCCCCATCCCCAGCTCGGGGACGCATCGTGGACCCCCTCGCTGGAGGTGGCCCCGCTGGGGGTAGCGGGCAGTGGGTAATGGTGGTGGTGGCATCGCCTCTGCTTCCTCCGATCGCTCCCCCATTGAGATGTCCTGGGCAGGCGCCCTCCGGCTGTGCCTGGCCGGGTTTAAATTGTGCGGGGCCGGGGTGACCCCGACCTGCTGTGTAGGCGGGGGAGGCTCTAGAGTGCGGGCCACCTGGCTACGGGCTGCGGGGGTGGTTCTGGGCCCCGCTAAGCCTCGCAGCGCGCTCCCCACGCGGTGTTCTAGGGGGTGCAAGAGTCCTCAGAGAGGCGGGAGGGTTAGGAGGGCATCCAGATTTGGTGTCGTGATCTGCGTGTGGATTGGCGACGTGAGACTGGGCCCTGTGAGCAGGCGGCGGAGGTTGCAGGTTCGCTGCTGTGGCGGGCTGGATCCCCCGATCAAAGGCACAGTGACTTGTTGCTGCAGCTGCCTCTCTGCTGCTCCCCTCCTGCTTCTTGGCACTTTTTGCGGAGGCCGCCTCGCATGTCGCTTCAATTTGTTTGGTACGCTTAGAGTGCCCTGAAAGTGCCTGGCACATCTGAAGTGTTGCTCTCAGCGTTGATGTGATTCTTGATCAGCCACAGCGTGGCCCAGCAGCAGAATCCAGCAGACACCGCGGCCCCTGTCCCCTTTCTCCTCCTCCTCCTCCCCCCCTCTCCTCCTCCTCCTCCTCCTCCTCCTCCTCGTCCTCCTCCTCGTCGTCCTCCTCCTCCTCCTCCTCCTCCTCATCCTCATCCTCATCCCTATCCCTATCCCTATCCCTATCCCTCCTCCCTCTCTTCCCCCTCCTCCTCCTCCTCCTCCTCCTCGTCATCATCATCACCACCATCCTCATCAGCACCGTCATTATCATCATCATGATCATCCTCATCCTCATCCTCATCCTCATCCTCATCCTCATCCTCATCCTCATCCTCATCCTCATCCTCATCCTCATCCCCATCATCATCATCATCATCATCATCATCATCATCATCATCAGCATCAGCATCAGCATCAGCATCATCATCATCACCATCATCATATTCATCCAGCATCATCTCCCATCGTCACCATCATCATCATCATCATCTTCATCATCATCATCACCATCACCATTACCATTACCATCACCATCACCATCATCACCATCATCATCATCATCATCATCAGCAGCAGCAGCATCAGCATCAGCATCAGTATCACCATCATCATCAGCATCATCATCAGCATCATCATCATCATCATCAGCATCATCAGCATCATCATCATCATCATCATCATCATCATCATCATCACCATCACCATCACCATGATCATTCTGATCATCATCATCGTCCCTCCTCCTCCATCGCCCCTTCCTCCCCCATTCGCCTTGTCCTCCTCCCCCCTCCCCCTCCCGGCCGTGCCCCGCCAGCTGATGCAGCTCGGCACGGGCCCGGGCACGAGAAGCGCGCCGCTGCTGGTGGGCCGCGTGGCCGCGCCCGGCGCGAGCGTGGGCACGAGGATCTGGGGGGGGGGAATTCAGATAAGGGAATGGTACCCATGCCGTTAAGTCGGGCCTGTCCCTCTACAGGGGGATTTTCGACGAAAAATAAGAAATATTTGAACAACAAATCAAAAAATAGTCCCAGAATAGTCTGGGGACCATTTCTTCAATTTTTTTTAAATCATTTCGGAGTATTTTTGGTTTTTTTTTCCGTCGAAAATCCCCTTGTCGGGGGACACGCCCGACTTAACCATACCGCTGCCCTTCACTCGTTTTCGCCATTTTGGGCGTCCTGGGAAACCCTCGCCTCGGAATTCTTGTCAGAAAGCACCTTGGGAAAAGGTCCCAGACGTGCCGGTATCTGTCCTTTTTCCTCAGGATTTGAAACATTTTTAGGGGAGGGAAGGGGGGGAAGTCAAGGAAACGTAAACATGGACGAAAGCGCGTGGATCAGTGGCAGGTCCGCTTCCTCGCATGATCGGCGCGACCCGTCGCCAAATGAGGCGGTAGTGGCCTCATCAGTCGGGGGCACCTTCCCCGATACTCCTTGGCGCGCGCCCGAGGGTGGACGGAGGGGTGGAGGGACGGATGGGTGGAGGGAGGGAGGGACGGAGAAGGAGAGAGAGAGAGAGAGAAACAAAAAAAAACGAAACAAGAAAGAGCTGGCAAGGAGCGCGCGCATGCATCCCCTCCCTCCTCGAGAAGGTTGTGGGGGGAGGGGGTGGGATGCGCATGTGTGCGCTTGCGATGCTCGTGTTGCAGCCCCCCCATAAGCATCTGCCCCGGCTGTGCCCGAGAGCCAGCCCTCTCTTCGCTTCCACTCCCAGGCCGCCCCCTTGAAAAAGGGTGTGCGTGCGTCGCATCCCAGCGGACATTTCGCTGTTCGATTGAGGTGGCGGGGTCTCGCTCTGCGATTCGGGCATTGCAGGCGGCGCGACAGGTAATCTGCTGGGCGCGGGGGTCGCGCCTCGCGCACCGGTCGCCACGCGACCTCCGCGAAGGAGCAGGCGGGAGGCCTTCGCCCCGCGAGCAGAGTTTGGCGGGGTCTCGCTCGCCGACCAGGGCACTGCGCATCGCTGCGCGAGTGGTTCCAGGTGGAGCGCGTCGCGCGCGGGGGTCGCGCTCCGCACATCGGTCGGTGCACGATCTCCATAAAAAGGGGGGTGGGCGGGGGGTCTGCTTAAACAGCTATGCGTGGGTTTCTCAGGGTCCCGCAGGCCGCGCAGGGATTCCTCGAACGTTCGACCATCATCGGGTGCACTCGCGGCCCCCCCTTGTGTCTTCGAAGCTCCACGCGTCTCCCCTGGCGGCGTGGCAGCTGCGTCGCACATGCGGGCACCCCGCTTCGCGACCACCGTCCGGGGTGGTGGTGGTGGTGGTGGTGGTGGGGCCTGCATGAAACGATGGAGGTTTCTTTCTTTCGGACCCCCTCAGGCCGCATGAGGATTCTTCGGGTGCCCCAAAACCATCCGGCTTCCTATTGGCGCCCAGGATTCTTCGAGGTCCCACGCGGTTCTTCTGGCGGCATCGCAGTTGCGCCGCGTCTGCTGGCATCCTGCTACATGACCACCGCGTAGGGTGTGGTGAGGTCTGCAGGTGAAGACACATGGCCCTTACGACTGCCACCCTTTGCCTCCTGGCGTTCCCTTGGGGCTCCTAAGGCTCCTTGGGGGTTTCAAAGGAAGCCCTTGGCGCTCTGGGATTGAAGCCTCGGGAGCGCGGGTGCTGTGCATATCACAAAGCGGATCGCAGCTTCGGGCGCTCCCAGACGTTCCCAGGCGCTCCTTGGCGCTCCAAGGCGCTACCAGGCGATCCCTGGCGCTCCAATGCGCTCCCAAGCGCCCCAGCAGGCGCTCCCAACTGGCGCCCCCAGCAGGCTCTCCCAGCAGGCGCCCCCAGCAGGCGCTCCCAGCAGGCGATCCTGGGCGCTCTCGGGCGCTCCCAGGCGCCCCCAGACATTCAAAGGCGCCCCCAAACGCTCCCAGGCGCTGCCGTGCTCTCCCAGGTGCCCCAGGGCCCACTGAAACTGCTCCCAGGTGTTCCCAGGCGCTCCCGAACTGGTCCCAGGCGCTCGTACACTGATCCCAGATTCTCCCAAGCCTTCCCAAACGCTCCTGTAAGCGCTCCCAGGCGCCTCCAGGCGCTCCCAGCAAGCGCTTTCGGGAGTTCCTTGGCGTTTTTAGGTGCTTCGCCCAGGCGCTCCAAGGCGCGACCAGGCGCCCCCAGGCGCTTACAGGCGCTCCCACGCGTTCCGAATGGCTCCCAAGCGCTCCCATGCGCTCCCAGCGCTCCCAGGGGCCCCAAGGCGCCCCAGAAGCGCTCGGCTCCCCCAGGCCGCTCCCAGGCGCTCCCAACAGTCGCTGCCAGGCGCTCCCAGGCTCCGAGGCGATCCCTAGCGCTCCAGTGCGTTCCCTCGCGCATTCAGGCGCTCTTAGACGTTCCCAAGCGGCCTCCAGGCGCTTCCAAAGCAGCTCGTTGTTTAGGTGGATTGCAGTGCCGGGGAGCCCCTGAGAGCTTCAAATTGATATTTTAAGCTTGTGGAGTGCTCGAGCGACCCTGAGCCCATTGCAGGCCAATATCCTTTCATAACCTCTCTGCTACGCACAAGGGAAGGAAGGTGTAGCCCGTCTTCCGCACAGCTCGGATGCGGGCGACGAAGCGCAGCTGGCGCTGCACGCACGCTCCGGCCATCAGTCGCTCGCTGCCTCACGATAGTCAGAGGCGGCGGGCGCTCTGGGGAAAAGAGGAGAAGGAGGAGGAGGAGGAGGAGGAGGAGGAGGAGGAGGAGGAGGAGGAGGAGGAGGAGGAGGAGGAGGAGGAGGGAAAAGAGGATGCGGAGGCGGAGGCGGAAGCGAAGGCGGAGGTGGAGGCGGAGGCGGAGGCGGAGGCGGAGGAGGAGGAGGAGGAGCAGGAAGAGGAGGAGGATGCGGAGAGGAGGAGGAGGAGAGAGGAGGAGGAGGAGGAGGAGGAGGAGGAGGAAGGAGGAGGAGGAGGAGGAGGAGCAGGAGGAGGAGGAGGAGGAGGAGGCGGAGGCGGAAGCGGAGGCGGAGGCGGAGGAGGAGGCGGAGGCGGAGGCGGAGGCGGAGGAGGAGGAGGAGAGGAGGAGGAGGAGGAGGGAGGAGGAGGAGGAGGAGGAGGAGGAGGAGGAGGAGGAAAAGGAGGAGGAGGAGGAGGAGGAGGAGGAGGAGGATGCGGAGGATGAGGCAGAGGATGAGGCGGAGGAGGAGGAGGAGGAGGAGGAGGAGAGGAGGAGGATGCTGAGGAGGAGGAGGGAGAGGAGGCGGAGGAGGAGAGGAGGAGGAGGAGGAGGAGGAGGAGGAGGAGGGAGGAGGAGGAGGGAGGAGGAGGAGGAGGAGGGAGGGGGGGAGGGGAGGACCAGTGTAAACCCAAGAGTCATCAACGATATCGGAACTAACCCTCCCTTCAAGCTCCCTCCTCATAGGCCTCGTTGGAAGACAACCGTTTGAAGACCCTGAAGCTTTCCAACATTTTGTTCTCGGGATGGCAACACCACGGATCAACCTTACTGCTGCGTCTTGACGATCCGGGATCGTGCCAGAATGCAATTTTTTGATTTCGACACCGCGAACCAACATAAAGTTGTTGCACCCGCATGATCCCGAACCCTTCCAGAACACCATTTCTGGTACTCTGATCATGGGAATCCGTGAAACTGCGAATTTGTAAAACGAATGTGCGTAGCGCTACGGTGAGAGCCACATTGTGAAAAGGAACCGCCCTCAATCCGTGAAGCTCTTGTACGTTTGTTTAACGAGTGTGCTCGGCGCTAAGGCGGGAGCCATATTTTGAAAACCACCCGCCCTAAATCCGTGAAACTACTCTAAATGTTTAAAATGAATGTGCGGCGCTAAGGCGAGAGCCACATTTTGAAAACCCGCCATCAATCCGTGAAGTTCTTGCAAATGTGTGAAGCGAATGTCCGCGGCGCTTGGCGAGAGCCATATTTTGAAAACCACCCGCCCTCAATCCCTGGACCTATTGGAAATGTTTAAGTCGAGTGTGCTCGGCGCTAAGGCGAGAGCCACATTTTGAAAACCACCAGCCGTCAATCCGTGAAACTCTTGCATATGTTTAGAACCAATGTACGCGGCGCTGAGGCGAGAGCCACATTTTGAAAACCACCCGCTCTACATTTATGAAAGTGTTGCCACTCTTTCAGCTTCAGAGTCGTAAGTGGTGGAGAAGTCTTAGGCGGAACGCCCGGCCCGCCCTAGAAAACTGCCCTCGAGGTGCGAAAGGGAGAAGTTATTTATAAGGAAATGGAATAGAGGAGTAGGAGGAGGAGTAGGAGGAGTAGGAGGAGGAAAAGGAGAAGGATGAGGAGGAGGAATGATGTGAAGAAGACGAACACGAAACCGACGTGTACACCGAACAACCTTATTGCGAATAAGAATCGTATGCAATATAGTAATACCACTGCTAATCAACATAATGATAGTACCGCTAATGATAATACCAATGCTACGAATAGTCAACATATCAGTACCACTACTAGAAGTTCGATTGAAAGTACGAAGAAGGCATCATACTGCTACACAGTAGTAGTATAAGCATATACCTCGGCAGTACTAGTTCTAATAGTGGTACTTTGAATCGCACAAGAGTAATAGTAGTATTAACCCAAATGGTAGTACAACGTCAATACCGAGAATACGAATAACAAGGGCACTGCTGTGTAAGAAACAAGAATACGAGGAGGAGGAGGAGTAGAAGGAGAGGGGGGTGGAGTAGGATATGAGGAAGAGGACGCGGTGGAGGGCGGAGGAGGAGAACGAGGAGGAGGAATAGGAGGAGACATATGAGGAGTAGGAGGAGGAGGAGGAGGAGAAAGAGGAGGAGGAGGAGCAGGAGGAGGAGGAGGAGGAGCAGGAGGAGGAGGAGCAGGCGGAGTAGCAGGAGGAGCAGGAGAGAGGAACATGATGATGCTGCTGCTGTTGATGATGATGATGATGATGATGATGATGATGATGATGGTGATGGTAATGGTGATGAGGATGATGATGATGATGATTATGATGGTGCTGATGAGGATTCTGATTATGCTGATGCTGCTGATGATGATGCAGATGATGATGGTGGTGATGATTATGCTGTTGCTGCTGCTGATTATGATGGTGCTGATGATGATGATGATGATGCTGATGATGATGATGATGATGATGATGATGCTGATGATGATGATGATGATGATGATGATGATGATGATGATGATGATGATGATGATGATGCTAATGCTGATAATGGTAGTGGGGGGGAAGAGGAGGAGGACGAGGACGAGGAGGAGGAGAAGGAGGAGGAGGAGGAGGCGAAGGCGGAGGAGGAGGAGGAGGAGGAGGAGGAGGAGGAGGAGGAGGAGGAGGAGGAGGAGGAGGAGGAGGAGGAGGAGGAGGAGGAGGAGGAGGAGGAGGAGGAGGAGGAGGAGGAGGAGGAGGAGGAGGAGGAGAAGGAGGGAGGAGGAGGAAGAGGAGGACTAGGAGGCGTGCGACTCGCCGCAGCAGAGATCATGGCCGGGGCGCATCCTGAGGGGTTCCCCGGGGGCGCATTTTCTGGGCGGGATCTATTGATGCTTCTCGGCGACCCAAATCTCCGCGCCGCAGTCCTGTTCGCCAGTCTCGGCGTCTGGGGGTCGCCCCCCTGGCGGTGGAATCTGCCCATGCAGTCGGACCGAGTTAGACCATCGAGGTCGGTTCGGGGCGTGTACCCACGTGTTCTTCGTGCTTGTTGGATGCTCTTGTGCACCCCGGGGAGGGCTCCCTTGGATGTTCTGCTTCTTTTGGCCGACGAAGTGTCTCATGCTCTCGAGTTGTGTTCTCCTGGCCTGGGTCTGACTGTACCTCCTCGCGGCTCGGCTGCGATCGCGGCGACGTCTCCGCGCGCCGCGCTCGGCGTCCCCGGGGGGGGGGGGTGTCGAGGGCTCCCAACGGGGGGGCCCGAGCCGCTCGCCATTGGGCTTGCTATCGGGGCGTCCAGGTGTCCCACTGCATGCGCGCCGCGCGGGGCCCCGCGGAATCGTGCTGAGGGGTGCCCTCGCGCGACGAGGAGGGCCGCGCGTGGGTCCGCCTGTGCTCGTCGAGCAGAGGAGCTTGTGCAGGTTGCCTTTTCATCGCTTGGTCCCGCTCGGACGCGTGCCGGGAAGCGGCAGCCACGGCCAGCGGAGGTCGAGCGGGCCGGGGGCCCGGGCCCCGCGCGCCATCATCCATCGCCCACGGCTGCTTCGGTGGCAACTCCTGGGAGCCTCCCGTGCCCATCCTTCGCAGGCGGTCTTGCTCCTCCAGTCCCGCAGTTCCGCCCGAACGAGGAGGAGGACGAGAAGGGAGGGAGGGGAGGACGAGAAGGGAGGGAGGAGGAGAAGGGAGGGAGGAGGAGGAGAAGCAGTTCGTCCTCCAGTCCTTTTGGCCGCTCGGGGAGCAGAGGGGGAGCCCGGGGATACAGCCCAAGGGGGTCTGGCTCTTCGGACGCACCTCTATCGAGGGTGGGCGCCCCTCCCCCCCCTCGTATGTCCCAGGGTTGGGCCGCGCCCCCAAATCAGTGGACCGTTCGGACCCCCCACGACGCTTGGGATAGGAGTCGACGCATCCCATGTGAATCTTCCTGGGTCTTGCGAGTCGGCGCTGCGTCGACGCTGGCTACATCGACGCCGCGTCGTCGCCATCCCATCGATTACCAGAGCCTGGTCGACGTTGGTGCAGCCTAGGGAGGGAATTGCGGGGGTATACAAGGCCCCCACGGTTTGCAACCAGACGGCTGCCCAGACACCTGGGCGCCATGGAGACATCACGACGGGCGTCGTTGCCTTGTGCTCTTGTGCCGTGCCCCCCTTGGATCGATCCCGTGGACTTCCCGCACAAAAACGAGGTCGGGAGCTCCCAGTGTGGTGTTTATTTTCCGAGCTGTTATGTTGCCACGTGTGCCTAATCCATGGGTGCGGCGGCGCTGAATGTTTCGCGAGCGTGCCCACATCGTGAAAGGGGCGTGCCCACACCACCGAGACGCCTGACAGCGCGACGACGAGGGAAGGGGGATAAGGGGGATGTTGGGGATGATGATGTTGTTGTTGTTGTTGGTGCTGCTGCTGCTGATGATGATAATGATGCTGCTGATGATGATGATGCTGATGATGATGATGATGATGATGATGATGGTGATGATGCAGGTGATGCTGCAGATGATGGTGATTATTCGGATGCTGGTTATGATGATGTTAATTATGGAAATGGTGATGTTGAAGTTGATGATGGTGATGATGATGATGATGATGATGATGGTGGTGGTGCTTGTGGTGCTGATGGTGGTCGTGATGGTGATGCGTGGTGATGATGGTTGTTGGTGGTGGTGGTGATCCTGAAGATGTTGCGGCGGACCATAATTATGACGATGATCACGACGACGCTAGTGACGCTGATTGCTTATACCACGATGATATGTGGCGGTGCTGTTTATTATGAAGAAAGCGGGTATGGCGAGGAGAAGTATGAGGAAGAGGAGGAGGATGTGGAGGAATATTAATATCATGCGGTTGACGATGGTGGGGAAGAGAGGGGGGAGGAGCAGGAGGATAATGAGAAGGATACAGGGGAGTACACGACCTGGGGAGGCGTGTCTAGTTTGGACACGCAGTGGCACGACGCCCCGCCTGACCTCTCCCAGGGCGCATTACCTGCGGCAGTATGATCACTGTTGGATCAGTGTAAAGCAGCGTATGGCAAGGTCACGGGGTCAACTTCTTGCTCCTTGCTTGGCCTTGGGGCTCTTCGGAGGATCTTCGCCAGCGGCGCACCATTACCACTGATGCGTTGGCACCACCGCCCCTGACTCCCTTTGGCGCACCCTCCAGGTGGTGGTGGCCTCTCCTCTCCCACTTCCTTCTCCGTCGCCCCTGTCCTCACGCTTCTCCTAACTTGCTTGAACCATCCGAGACCCTCGTAAGCAGCTCATCATCTGTCTTTCTGTCTCCGCTTCTTGCTGGTGCCCAAGTGTTGCACACACGGTGGGCCAGCGGCTTTCAAACTGTGGCTATCGCCTTAGTGCCGCGCGCGCTCGTTTGAACACACACACACACACATCTAGCAGTTACAACATGCAGGGCACGGACGCTGTTTACAAGACGTGGAGGCCGCGCACACTCGTCTCAATTGGTGCAACCAGCTGCAAGGATGGATTGTGGATGGTTTTCAAACTGCGGCTATCGCCTCAATGCCGTGCGCACTCCGTGCAAATCTTCCACAGCTGTCCGCACGGAGTGCGGCCGGCCTTCAGCATGTGGCTCTAGACTCCGCACCGCGCTTGCTCGTCCTACACATTTTCCCAGCGGCATTCACATTCTCAGATGGATGTCGCGTGCCTAGAGGTTGACACCTACACCAAGAGGGAAGAAGATGGCGATCTCGGTGATGGTGGTAATATTCTGGCTGCCGAGGTGGCCGAAGTATTGCCACCCACACCGAAATCTGGGATCACCTTCCCCCTGTGGAGGCAGCCCCTTGCTTTTGTGTTGGTGCTCATTTCCAGGCCTCCAAGGGTGTCGCTTTTCCGAGGAGGAGGAGGAGGAGGAGGAGGAGGAGGAGGAGGAGGAGGAGGAGGAGGGAGCAGGAGGAGGAGGCGGGGGAGGAGGAGGAGGAGGAGGAGGAGGAGGAAGAGGAGGAGGAGGAGAGGAGGAGGATAGGAGTAGGAGTAGGCGCTCGCCTGAAACTGCTCCGCGTGTCGTGACCGACCGCGCGCGCGACGCCGTGCAGCAGCTGCGCGGACGTAGGGCGACTCGCGTTCAAGACGGGGCTCTCGCGGGACACTGCCTCGATCCGTGTGCGTTTTTCCGGCGTCGACGACGACGTCGTCGTCGTCGTCGTCGTCGTCGTCGTCACCGCTGTCATCAATTTTCCATCGTCAAATTGTCGTCGTCGTCGTCGTCGTCGTCGTCGTCGTCGTCGTCGTCGTCGTCGTCGTCGTCGTCGTCGTCGTCGTCGTTTTCGTCCTCGTCGTCGTTGTCGTCGTCGTCATCGTCGTCGTCGTCGTCGTCGTCATTGTCAGCATACAGGACTCTCGCCAGAATGGTGGGACCGTGTGGCGCTCGTCTTCCAGGGAGACGCTTCCTGTAGTCGAGCGGAGCGCACGTGTGCACTTTCGCTCGGGGCGTGGAATGAGGTCCATCTACTTTTCGAAAGGGGCGGCCGTTCCTTAGGTTTTCCATGCGTTCCGTTCCTTCTTTGGTGGCGTTCCTTCAGGCTTCATGGACGCAGTTGGGAACAACAGGGGCTTCGTTCCTTCTTGATCGCTCCTTCGGTCAACGCGCCGACTGCACGAGGGGAGGACCTGGTATAGCAGGCTAGTTTGCAGCACCGCCGATGCGTCCTGAGTGTACTTAGGTCCTCCTCCTCCTCCTCCTCCTCCTCCTCCTCCTCCGCCTTCTTCCTCTGCGAGTGGTGAGAGTGGCACGGGGTTCAGGAGCGAAAGAAGGACGTGCACGTACATGAGAGTCACGCTGGTTTCGAAAGAACTCGTCGCGCGAACGCTCGCAGCACGAGGTTGCTCTCGTGGATTGGGGGGCCGTAGTCGTGTACGTGGTTGGGAGCATACGTCCTCTGTGGGCTCCCAAGGGTTTGACTGGCCTCGAGCGCCGCCACGCGAGGGTCCTCCTCCCATCGGCGGAAAAGGCAAATCCGCCCCTCGGCCCTCGCCATCTCACCCTGCCCCCCTCGCCGTGGTTGACGCCATCCTCCGGGCCCCACGCCCCGAGAGGAGAGCGACGCTGGCGCCGCGCGCGCACGCGGCCCAGCGCCGCCCGCGCCCGTGTCGAGGGTCGCGGCTCTCGCGGGCTCCTGCCGTCGCTGCCGTCGCCGGCTTCTCCTCGGGGGCGCGGGGAGGATCCCAGACCCTCGAAGAGCTGATCTGTCGTTCCTGGCGTTGTCATCCGACTTCTTCCTCTGGTGCCGTTGCCAGCCCTGGGGACGTCAAGCATGGATCTGGGATGGAATACTGCCCCCGGGGACGGCGGTGGAAGCTCATTGGCCGCAGATGGGGACAGAAGCACATCGACGCATGCCAGGGATCCATGATAGTTTTTGTTGGTTCATTTCTCAAGGACGATTCTTCTTGCCCTCCGCCTTGGGTGCACCGTGTGCTTTTTCAATTGAGGTGCCCGTATTTTATAAGGGGAAGTCTTGAGCATCAGACTGCGTTGATGGCCCCAGAGCCACAACGACAATAACAACAATCATGTTAAGACTGTTCGCTCTGATCTGCTCGCGGGACATTCAACACGTAGATCCCAAACCCTCGATACCCGCCCTATTCGTCTTCGATCGTACAGTACCCCCTTGGGAGTGTATATTTTTCCTACCTGCAATGTGTATTTCGTGCAGCCCCTCAGGCAGGGGAAGAGAAGACGGATGGAAGGAAGGGACAAGGGGGAGGGAGGAGGATGGAGCACAAGAGAGAGATAGAGAGAGAGAGAGAGAGAAAGTGGCAGGAGGGGGGCTAGGAGCAGAAAGTACGTTGCAGAACCAGACAGGCAGATCGGGCGGGTAGACCCTAACGGGCGGGTCGGGAAGGCGGGCCCAGTTTTGGCTACGCCCTTTACCAGACGATGGACCTGTGGTATACCCACCAGGGCACCACAGTACTCCTTCTCACTAAGCACCCGCGGAAGAGTGGCAACCAGCGGCAGCAGGGCTACGTAGGTGGAGTCCAGGTGGGCCACCCACGACCGCTGCTTGGCCGAGCGGATCAACTATGCTCGCT